CGAGGCTGGGCATACAATGCTCCAGTTATATTGCCACTCCATACCCCCCCCCACTGGGTAACTAGCACACACACGCCAATAGGTGGCAGTAATTAGCAGTATACGTGCACAACACACAATAACAAGGTTTTTTTTCATGATCCATGTAGCCATAATATTGTGGTACAGATAACGGGATGAATTTCTTCCCATGAGAAACTCCTGACACTTTCCTGTCCACTAGGCTTTCACCTTGTGCCATGATACATTTGGGGTTACCTTCAGAAGGCTTAGTTTTTGCACTGCTTTTCTTTTGCCCTCTAGCTTCTAATTTCTATCATTTTATCACTTCTATAAGCATCCTTATGAATGTTAGCAATTTGTGGGGTACCTCATTCTTGTTCATCATGTGGACCAGATGTCCAAACTTTGCCATTCTCCAATATAAAAGGCACAGGTTCCCTTTGATTTAAGCAAAGTCTGGACACATCTATGATTTTTTTTTTCTTGGCAACAGTTTGTACAGATAGTCCTTGCTTAACATCCACAGTGGGGACCAGAAAATTGGTAGTTAAGCAGGGCAGTTGTTATGCGAGTCACCGTGTGACCAGACCCAGTTTTACAACCATTTTTATGATGGTCATTAAGTGAATCACGATTGTTAAACAAATCCAGCTTCCCCAATGGACCTTTTTTGCCAGAATTCACTTAATGGCCAACTGATTTGCTTAACTGTAGTGATTCACTTAATGACTGTTGCAAAAAAGATTGCAAATTGCGATCATGTGGCCTCAGGGGGTGGTGTGATGGTTTGCGATGGTCATAAGTGCAAGTAAAACACTTTTTCTGAGGCTGTTGTAACTTCGAACCATCGTTAAATGAATGGTCGTTAAGGGAGGACTACTTGTAGTGCTTTCTACAGCCTTCTTCCTGGATGGTTTTTCAACTTCCCAAGCTAAGCCTACAATTGACTGATTATGTGCCATCAAGTCATTTTTGGACTCTTAGCAACCACAAAGAAAGATTTTCTCCATGACTATCTGTCCTTAACCTGGTCTTTCAGGTCTTCTAATGGTGCATCCGCTACCACTGTAACTGAGTCCATCCCGCTTGCTGCTGATCATCCTCTCCTTGTCTTTCCTTCTACCTCTCCCAGCACAAGAGCCTTCTAGGTCTTCCCATAATGATGCATTTTTCGACAGCCAATTTAGCACCATTTGCACAGAAAACTGAGCTTTATGCAAGCTTAGAGAACAACCGACAATGCCAGTTCTTACAGCAAGACTGCCCTCTGGTGTTCCTCCCATCACTGCTGAAAGCCTTCACAACTAAAAGGTTCCAGCAACAATCTGATTTTCAAAGTACAGTTTATACCAAAGAGGAGATGCTTCTTAAAAAAAGAGGGGGGGGGAAGCCTGTTATTGATGGTGGCTATTGTGATGAAACAGTAGATTGCGTCATTAATGGACTACAAGTGAAGGTTGAACTGGACGCATCTTTCTAAAAGAGGTAATTGCTGGCTGGGGAATTCTGGGAGTTGAAGTCCACACATCTTCAAGTTCCCAAGGTTGAGAAACACTGCTTTAAAGTGTAACAAAATCTCAGTCTCACAGACCAGGTGAGGGAGGGAGAGGGGATGTTGTTCCAGAGGGCAGGTGCCATGACAGAGAAGGCACATCTCTTGGCTGCCTATGGATGAGGCCCAGACTATGCCGGGTCTGTCAAGACATGTTGGACTAGTCCAGCTTATGGCTGTCCAGAGGTAAAAAAAATACTACGCAAATTTATCACAATAAAACAGGATGACCTGACAATATTTTTTTATATGCACCCATTTGTGCTTGCATACATGCCCCCCACCAACCCGGTCCCCCTACCCTGATACAAAGCTCACATTCAGGATATTGAAGCTACAGCTTTGTGACCGAAAGACAGAGGAAAACAGGGAAGCTAGAATGGTTTGGCTCCTGGGCCAAAGGAGATGGGCTGATCCAATAAATTCCAGGGCTTAAGGAAATCATTCTTTGAAGGATGATGGACTACAGCTTCTATCATCCTTAGCGAGAAGTCATACTGTTGGAGAATAACAGGAAGTGTAGTCCAAGGATTTGGCTAGGATTGGCTTGACTTTCGCTTATGTTTTCTTTTCACTGCACTTTTTAGTCAGGCTCCCTGCTCTCTGCTGGCGCCAATTACAGATGTCCTTGAAGGCACAATAGCAGCATTTCCATGTGTCCTCAATGTCCACCCCCTTGGGATCTCTTTGCCCTTTCCAATACTCTAAGAAATCATGGGTCATGGCCATCAATTCATCGTGGTCATAGGTGATGACTTCGGTGCCAATCAAAGCGTTGGTCTGCTGATGCACATACTCAATTTGCAGGTGGCCAATGGCCGGAATGTCTGAGTGGGTCAAGTTGAGGACCATCAGCTCCAGGAGGTCTTGGAAGCAGTGCACCATGAACCCAACTTTTTGAGCGTGTTCTTGGATCTGCAGGCCAAGTGGTTGTTTGGGCTCCAGATGAAGATGATGGACAAAATTATCCTGGGTTAAACATCCTTGCACCATAGCATCAAACAGATATTTATATAAAAAGATCTGCAATGAATCAAGCAGAGTTTCTTGAGTCACATCCAATTTTCAACCTCACCTGCATCTCACTGGATATTTAAACATGTATATGAGGTCTTATTGGGATTTGATACCCCAATGTAAATGTGTAATACGTAATGCCTGTATGGAAATCCCTCATGCTGTCCTCAAGACTGCCAAATATTATTGTTTAATGATTTTTCTAGGTCTAAATCCCAAGCTTCTTTGGTATATTTGCCATCATCTATTTCAAACAGAATCTGATAAATGTTCAAAAATATACACTTAGGTTCTAAGCAACCATGATTAGAAGGTACAACATGTGAGAAGGACTGGGGTATCTCTGCTGACCATAAGTTAAACCTAAGCCAGCCATGTGATGCAGCAGCTAAACAGGCAAATGCTACGGGGGGCGGGCATTTAACACAAGCAGAGAATTCAGATCATGGAAAGTGATTGTCCCACTTTACTTTCCCCTGATCAAATTCCATTTGGAGTACTGGATCCAGTTCTGGAGACCACTGTACCAAAAGGACAGTGACAAAATGGGCATCAGAGGAGGACAACCAAGATGGAAACCAAGCCCTCTGAGGAACAGTTAAGGGAACGAGATACATTTACCTTACAGCAGAGGTGACTGGGGACACAGGATAGCAGGCTTCAAATATCAGAAGGATTGTCACACAGGAGAAGCAGTGAGCATATTTTCTATTGTTACAGAGGGCAGGACCAGAACCCAGAGGTTGAGGAAGTTAAGGCCAGATAGCAGGAGGAACTATCTGACTTTATGAGATGTTACTCTGTGGAAAGGTTTCATGCTGCATGAAGTGCTAAATTCCCTTATACTGGAGTTCAGCAGCAGCTACATGATCATCCTTCAGAGATGCTCTAGTGCAGCATTTCTCAACTTAGCCACTTGAAGATGTGGGGACTTCAACTCCCAGAATTCCCCAGTCAGTCATGCTGGCTAGAGAATTCTGGGAGTTGAAGTCCACACATCTTAAAGTGGCCAAGGTTGAGAAACACTGCTCTAACATGGTAATTGCTGGCTGGGGAATTCTGGGAGTTGAAGTCCACACATCTTAAAGTGGCCAAGGTTGAGAAACACTGCTCTAACATGGTAATTGCTGGCTGGGGAATTCTGGGAGTTGAAGTCCACACATCTTAAAGTGGCCAAGGTTGAGAAACACTGCTCTAACATTCAATGATCATGGCTTGACCTCTAACATTCAATGATTCTACGAAACATGGATTAATTCAAAGGCAGGAGAAAGGGGTGTCTGTTACATTAATTTTTCCATTTTCAGCACTGGCAGTTTCTTTCTAATGCTTTTTTTATTGCCTGGCCTTTAAACATGTTTAATTTTTAACTGTCGCTGCAGTGTTTCTCCAAGATGTTCTCTGTGGCTCTCCACAGTGGTGGTCACAGCACTACTTATTCTATAAGCTGCTCTTAGCCAACATTTCTATTCACTTCAATTCTCTAAACCAGTGTTTCTCAACCTCAGCAACTTTAAGTTGTGTGGACTCCAACTCCCAAAATCCCCCAGCCAGCATGGCTGGCTGGGGAATTCTGGAAGTTGGAGTCCACCCATCTTAAAGTGGACAAGCTCAAAAAACACTGGTCTAGTGGATCCTGCAGAGAACAGATAGCTGTACTAGATGACTTCTAAGTTCTCTTCCAACTTCTGGATTCTCTGTTGTGTGAATGCAGCTGCTAGGTCTTTCACAGGTAGTCCCCACTTTAAGAACGAATTGGTTCCCAAGGTCTGTCCATAAGTCAAATTTGTATGTCAGCCAGAACAGTATTATTGTATAGTTCTGCATAAGTAGTATTGTGTAATGAACTTGAACCGTTGGGTTTTTAACTCCAATCATTGTGTATTTAACTCGAATTTTGCCACAATAGGCTCCGTTCTTAACTATGGGTCGTCCTTAAATCAGGTGTTCTTAACCCAGGGACTACCTGTACTGACCCCGTTAAATTCATGGGGTGAACACAGCCAATTCACTCCCCACCTCTGGTTTCCAACCCTCCCCTTGAGCCTCCTGGGCCTCCACCAAACCCACCATGACCCACCTGGAAACGGTCCCTCTTCTTCTGCGCAGGGAAAGGCAGGCAGGGTTTTTTCCGTGTCTTCAACTCGTTCAGTTGCAGCTCCCCGTTAGCCGTATAATTCAGCTGGTCAACAATTCCCAACACGAAAACGCCTTCTAACACTCCAAAGACGGGGCATTCGCGCACACGCCGACCTGCCAGGAAGAGGCAACATTCCAGCACTTTGCCATCATGAGGGGCTTTGGGAGCAGCCCAGGACCAGGGAGCTGACCTTCTCGTAGATCAGCGATGGCCTGGAGAAGGTTAAGCAGCTTGATGGCCCATCTGTCTTCTTGGCTCGTGGTCCTGACATCCACCAAGTCATGATCTTGCAGTTCTGGATGGAAGCAGCAACAGAGAAAGAATGTTGGTGCCCTGCTCTTACGATTAGCCACTTACCTCTATGGCACCTCCTCCCAATGGGCTGAGAAAAACATGCGTATGGTTTATGGTTTTGGTGATTAGATAGGATAGATTATAGAAAGAAGAGAGTTATGTTGCAACCATAGAGGAAGAGGTACATTTGTACTTATAACTGCTGTAAAGAAAATTGGAAGCGACTTCTTTGTATCTTTTTTCTTTCCTTCCCATTTTTAACTTTTTTTCCTTTCTTGCACTTTTAGCTTTCTTTTATATTTCATTCTTTGTTTTTCTTACTTTATATTGTTTTGCATTAGTTTTTATCTCCCTTTTTAAAAATCTTTAATAAAAATTATATATACAGTACTGTGCAAGAGTTTTAGGCAGGTGTGAAAAAATGCTGTCAAATAAGAATGCTTTCAAAAATATATATTGTAATTGTTTAGGTTTATCGATTTACAAAGTGCAAAGTGAGTGAACAGAAGAGAAATCCAATTCAAATCAATATTTGGTGTGACCACCCTTTGCCTTCAAAACAGCATCAATTCTTCTA